ACTGTTGCCAAAGCAACAACACTAGCTCAATTCATTAGCAGAATGGAAGCAATAGCTCAAATTGATATAGAAGCAGCCAGGTGGTTTGATGGCAAACCACCAAGTCAATGGAGCAGAGCTTATTTTAGCACTCATCCTAAATGTGCTATGTTATTGAATAATATCTGTGAGTGCTTCAACAGCAAAATTCTTCATGCTAGGGAGAAGCCAATAATTGAAATGTTTGAAGCAATACGGTTGTACATGATGCAGAGAATGCAAAAAAATAGGGATCTGGCCAAAGAGAAGTGGCAGACTTATCCTTATTGCCCCAAAATTCTTCACATTATGCAGAAAAATGTAGATAGAGCACCTGACTGTTTTCCATTCAAGTCAAATGATGATCTTTATGAAGTCAGTTGCCCATATGGTGACCAATATGCAGTGAACATCAAGGAGCAAACATGCTTTTGCAGAAAATGGGAATTAACAGGTATTCCCTGTCCCCATGCCATTGCTGCATTGTGGATGGCTAAAAAGGATCCTCTGCTATATGTTTCAAAATGGTATACAGTGGAGACATATATGAAGTGCTATGAAGGATCAGTGTGTCCCATGAATGGAGAAAGTGAATGGGGGCTTACTGATGTTGGTGAAGGTCCTTTACCACCCTTATATGGGAGAGCACCTGGAAGGCCTAAGAAGCTGAGAAGGAGAAGTGCAGAGGAGGTTCAACAAGCCAAGGAAAAAACTAAGAAGAAGGTGACAAGAGTGGGACAGATTAACAAGTGTAGATACTGTCATCAAAGGGGACATAATATGAGGTCCTGCAAGCTTCTCAAAGATGCTCAAGATCCTGCAGTTGCAGAAACTGATATTAGTTCAAGCCAAGTTGCTGCTTCTACCAACAATCCAGCTAGCCAAGATGGAAAAAAAGTTGTAAGTTGTTTTGATGACTTGTTACAGCTATCTTTGATATTTGTTATATAAATGACATGTTTTCCTTTTAAACTGTAGGGAACAAAGAAAACCAAGAAGCCTGCTGCTGAGTCTTCAAATAAAAGGGTAGAAAAACCTGCTACATCTTTTGATTTTTCTGTCTTTATGCAATTTGATTTTTGCTACCTCACTGTTTTGTGCAGAAGAGACATAGACATACAAGAAGAGTTGCAGCTGCAGTTTGTAATGATGATTCAAACATTGAACATCAACAGGATGCTGAGCCACTGGTTGAGATTGACATAACATCCTCTGCCCCAGATCAAGTAGACCAGGATATGTTCGAAGTGTTTGGGCTGCCAAGGTCTCAAGTGAAATATAGCACCAAGGAACCCAGAACACAAACTAAAGAACAAGTACATGTGGGATTCAGGATTAGAGATGTTCATATGCATGTTGCTGCTGCTGGCAAGGCAGATTTAAGTGTTCCTAGTTCATCTAGATCGAAGGGAAAGGAGAAACTACTGTGATAGGAGAAACAACATGCTGAATTTTCTTCAAGCCAAGCTGCTTTTGTTCAAGCCAAGTTGCTGCTTTTGTAATTAGTGAATGACTTTTGTTGTTTCAACTTTTGCTTTGCCTAGTAATTATGGAAGTGCAAGCTGTAATGTGATAGCTGGCTTTATTTCATTTATGGACCCATGTTCAACAACAGTCATGTAGTTTGCTTTATTTCATTGAGAATGCACTTTAATTGTATTGAAGTTATGATATACATATATGGCAGCTGTTTTCATCTTCATCTGTTTGTACAGCTGTTCCAACTTGGTTTATCAGTACATGTGGGACAATCTTGGTTTATCAGCTTAGTTGCCAGTTTGGTTTATTTGCATTTGTTTTCCAGCGTGGTTTATTTGCATTTGTTTGTATTATCAGTACATGTGGGACATCAGTTCATGGCCATTTTATATTTATGATATGAACAACACTTTGACAAGGACCATTTTCTTACACTCAACGCATAGCTTTACAAACAAAATAAATTACAGAGTTCATAAATTGCATTTTTGCAAGATACATTTCCCTTCCTAAATCCCACCTTTTACATAAATTGCAGAGTTCATTTGGAACCTTTGTACAAACAAAATAAGTCCCTTTCTATACCCTGCAATTGGATATTACTTCATAGGAAAAAATGCAACTCTCGTTCCAACAAAGAAACACAGCCAGCTTCAAAATGTTCTTTCTTCTGCAATTTTACCAAAATCACTCCAGTGTTAGCAGCAACTTGCCTCCCTTTACTTTTTCCTCGCCTTTACTGCTCCAACTCAGTACTAGCAAAACCACCAAAAGCACAATTATTATAATAAAAAATTTCTCCCTCTTACGCATTCTTTCAACTTGTTCTTCCATTTTGTTAGTCTTTTTCAGCAAACCAGGAATGAGAACTCTCCCTCTTGGACAAATTGGCTCATCAACCCATTCAAAGTACCTGCATCTCTCGGGTCTCTACCATAACAATAATGACATTTCTCAGAAATTAGTTAGCTAAATTAACACATTGAAGGACCAACATTTTTAGACAAATATTTCTTACCGGCCACAGAGAGCAACCAAGGAATCTTCTTCCCGAATTCTCGCCGCGCCAACAGGTGCTCATTTTTGTTCTTAACCCACACTTGCAGAATGGAGTTGATGAACCACTGGAGACTTCAGAACTTCTGCTCCTCATTTAGGCAAAAATGAGAGCACAGGGAGCTCCACTGCCAGATGCTCTGAGGATGAATGTTTAAAGCTGCAAAGATTGGCAAGAAAATTTTGGGGTTGAAGGGCAGAGGGAAAAAGGACAACAATGGAGCTTTTCGTCCGTCCGTTGCATTTTGTTCCTTTAAAGTTAGCTCCATTCGGTTTTACCCATTTTTTGTTGGGTAAAACCGTTGGTTGTAACGGTCAATTGGATATTTCCCGTCAATTGTCCTTAATTGGTCAAAATTACGGAACATTGAGGATGAAATGTGTTTGGGGTTAAACATTGAGGATGAAATTGGTCAACCCCCCAAACTTTGAGGATGAAAAGTGCATTTTTCCCTTCCTGAAAATTACACCAAACTCGTAACCTCACTTAGCTTAGGTTACATACAGATTATTTCCTGAAAATTTCAGCCAAACTCGTATCCAGTAAGTCTAGCTGTCCTTCTTTGTTGTTTTTAATATACTCAAATTTTCTCAAACAAAATTTTTCTCTTCTGTCCTTCCTTTTTTCCCGTATAAATATGTGTTGTGTGAAGGAATTTGTGCATTATTTGTTGGTTTTTTTTTTTTATTTCGCTGGATAAACAACAGGGTTCATGATTTTGGAGTTGGATTACTGGTAAAGAAAAGGGAAAAGGGGGGAAAAGATCGACTGGAAGACATTAAAAAACTTGCATGCAAGGTACAATTTACCCAGTTTTCAACGTGGTTATTAGACGCTCATGTGTTTTGAAGGATAGAATCTACAGGTCTTTTTTCGCTGCTTATATGTCAAGCAAATATTTAAAAGTTGATAAGATGCTTTACATGTACTAGGTTGCGGTTCAAGTCATCAAGGGAGTAAGTGGGAAATCACTCTTGATTCTGTTTATTTGAAAAAAGGAATACTACTTGTGACCTCTTTTTGTTTTTTCATAATGTTAAAAATGCAAAAGACTTCCATTTCGCTTTACGAAAGAATTTAGTATATGTTCAGATCATGATGCAAAAATGAGCCTTCATCTTAACAACTAGGAACAGTGCTAATATTTGAAAATTGTACTGCAAGATGGGTATACTAGAGAGAAATCACTGTCTTTGACATACAAATTTGAGTGACAAATACTTATTTTTATGAGGATGTGATGGATCGACTCTTTCTTTTTTTTTTTTTTGAGGGAAATGCATTGATTTCAAACCTTTGTTTTGATTTCCCTTTTGCGATATTCTCTTTTACATGGAAGCCATTTGAGGGACTGGGCACCAGTGCGGCTGCATTGTGTATAATTTGGTCCAGTTATTGTACATATTTAAATTTTTCGATATACAATTATATTATAATGTGAAATATTTTATCCATGTACACTACATTTTTCACGAGTTCAACAATGCAATGTGATTTTGTAAACCAATTAATATAACAAGTATAACAATCAGACTGAATCGCATAGAAACAAAACCGCACCAGCACTCATTCCACCATTTGTGTATCCATGGACTCAATGTTCTCACTTGGGCTCTTAGTGATTAGTTTTTGTTTATAGCCAGTATATGTAATCATGTATCTGTTAGTTGTTCCTATACCTTGTTTCATCATGTTCGATGGTTGGTTTATAATCTATTATTCATTTCATATGGCAATTCCAGACCTAGGAATGTGTTAGATGAACACTCCTAATCAATGACGACAGAAATCTGGTACATTACTTGAAAGGAAAATTTTCTGTGAATAAACTGTTTTATGAACTGCAAACATGCAATTTGGTTCTGTTCTTCTCTCTGTTGCTAGCTAATCTGGTTGACATGGTATTCTGCACACTTGTTTTCACTTTGTACCAGGAAACAAGATGGATACTTCTCAATGTTGATTTGGTTGATGATCATGGAGAAGGACCGTCGTATATTTCTCTTCTTCATGAACAGTAATATTGGCTTTATGACATGTCAACAGCTGCAAACTTTCGTAATGTCAAAATGTCTACATGCGATAGAATTAGTGATCTTCCTAGCAGTATAATAGAAAGCATTTTAATGTGGTTGCCAACACGAGACGCTGCAAGAACTGGCATCTTATCAAGGAAATGGAGGTATAATTGGTCCAGAATCCCGCAGCTGGTACTTGATGATAAGATTTTCAATAAAATTTTAACAAATCATGCATTACCTAGGCAAAAGTTTGCAGAAATTCTATTTCAGATTCTGTCACTACACCAAGGACCCATATCCAAGTTTCGTTGTTCTTTAACTGGCCTTAAAGATTGTCGTGACATTGACAGCTTGATAGTGCTTCTGTCCAGGAGTGGGGTTCAGGAGTTTACCCTCAATCTTTGGCTGAATGAATACCACAGAATGCCATTGGCATTTTTTTCCTGTCTAGAGCTCAGGCATTTGAACCTTCGGGGTTGTTTGATTAAACCCCCCACCAATTTCCAAGGTTTTGGCCATCTGATTAGCCTGAAACTCTGTCAAGTGAATATTGCAGAGGATGTACTGGGAATTTTGATGTCCAGTTCCCTGCTACTGGAGCAGTTGACCGTTGTAGAGATCCCGGCCATCTTGAACTCCCTTGAGCTCATAGCGCCCAAGTTAAAATCTGTTTTCTTCAAAAGCTCTGTAAAATCTATCTTATTCAAGAATACCCCGGTTCTTGCAAGGGTTTCGCTTGTTCCTAGAAACCAAGACATGGACGGAAAATTTCATGTGGGGGGAGCAACTTCATGATCTCCTGAGTCTTGAGAATCTGCATTTGCACTATGCGTACTTCAAGGTAAAAAGAAGGTGCTCCTTTGCTTTGGATTCAAGATTGTGAGGTAATTGTATATATCTTCACTATGGGTGTTTATTGCTTTGCTTTAAAGTCTCTAGATGCAGGTGGAATCCCTGCAAAGATTACAACTACACTAATCCACCTTAAAGTTGTTAAGCTAGAATATTTATGCTTTGAAGAGGTGAATGAGATTGCTGTTCTTCTGTGTTTACTGAGAAGCTCTCCCAACTTAGAAGAGTTAGAAATTCTGGTCAGTAATTGATGCTTTTCCGCCATATTATACTTGATGCAGTTGGATCTGGGGCCTCTCCAGTTGACGTTCCATCCACTTCCATCCAGTTGTGTAAACTTGTACAATCTCAATGTAAACTAATATATTTTTGGTTTATTTGTTAGTTTTGCACCAATTCAGTTCTAATTCACATTTATGCAAACCAATTTACACTGACATCCTATCAGTTTATATAGCTGGATAGAACTGGAACTGGAGAAGCTCCATTTCCGATGAAATTAACATTTATAGCTCTATATAAATGATCTTCCTCTCCATCTTAGGTATACAAGGTTGACGAGTACGCTGAAGGTCAAGCTTCAAATTTTCTGGATGTGCAGGAATATTCTCAACTGACTTTAAATCAACTTCGGCAAGTGAAGCTGCAAAACATTTCTGTAACAAGATCTGAGATGGAAATCATTAAGCTTTTACTGAAAAAGTCCTCAATTCTGGAGAAAATGTTGATCAAGCAAGCCCCCATGAAAGAAAACATCAAAAACAAAGTAACAGAAATTGGGATCTTGAAACAAGTGACAAGGTTTCACAGGCCTTCACCTAGAGCAGCAGTCATATATGAAGATCCAATCATTAGTTAATCCAAAGCAAGTCAGTCAGAGAAGAGGGTTCAAGGTTTGGAGTTAATTAGTACCCAAATAAGTCATTTCTCAAGTTAATTGGCATTTTCAAAACTTTTTTTTTTTTTTTTTGATTCTGCAAGACTGTGTTACTGTATTCTTGGTAAATAATACAGTAATTAATTTGGGTTCTCTCTTCGTCCTGGATTATGTTGGTAATTTTTTTTAGTTGAAATTATATTGAGTAAAAAGTAAGTATTTGAACCCGTTCCTTGAGAAGCCATGTGCTTCTTGGCTACATTTTTACCATGCAACCATGGTTCGAAGTCTCGGCCGAGACCGAGACGACTCGGCCGAGTCGTCACCGTCTCGGTCCCTACCGATACGATATCGTGACGAAACGATACCGAGATACTTGACTCGCCGAGAAATCGGCCGAGACGTCACCACGACGGATTGACTCGGCCGAGTCACACCGAGTCACTCCGAGTTATCTCGAGTCAAGATGAGAAATTAGCCGAGTTACACCGTGACGGATTGACTCGACCATTTCTTTTGCTATTTTTTATTATTTTTGTTTATCATTCTTTTTTATATTATTAACAATTTTTAGAATATTAAATACTTTAAAATTTGCATCTCACCGAGACCGCGACCGATATGCCGAGACCGATGTGAAACGTTCCGGGCCGCGACCGTGACCGCGACCACGACTTTGAACCATGCATGCAACTGAAAGCAGAAGGCAAGTCCACCTGCATACCAACCTTTGTTTCAGGGAACCGGTGATAGAGTTGACAAACAAGGTTTCTTTTTCTTTGGTGGTAGACCAGGTTTCTTGACTGCAAGCAGAAAAAGAAACGACGAAAGTGTATTTGCCTCGGCCTTCCATGGTGCTCCGTCAATGTTGTATCTTCTGGGAGTGGTTATATGATTTCTATGTCCTTGGAGTGCAATCCTGTGATCCGTGGACAGACAAGGACACAGGATATCGATGTGATGGTGAAGCTTCTTGAATATTATTTACCCTAATGTCTCTTACGCAAAAACAATCATGGATTTGTCCAATAAGCTTTAGATTCTAAGTATATTCTATGAATAGTTCTCTGAGAATGCATCATGGAAGCAAAGTCAATGATTTAATCATATCTATGAAAACATATCTTCCTAATTATACGAGGGTTGATTTTTTTGGTTAAACATGGTGCAAATTTGATTTTTTATTTTTTGTTAAACAAAGAAAGACCAATGTTAGCAACAAGGGAATATTGAAGAAGCTGAAAATTTTTTACAAACAGCACCAGTTATGCAACTGTGATGACAATCGGGCAAGTTTGGTAGTCTGAGTTAAGCTTAGAAGATGAAGCATTTAGCTGCGGTGATCTGAAGCTCAATTTCTTTCTAGAGGTCACTTTTGGAACGCCAAAACTTCTATGTTGGCGGTGAAAGATGAGCCTTTCTATTACAAGAAAACCGCTAGCTTCTAGAAAGAGAATGAAAATTTGTGAGACGAAGGAAAGGGCCATGCACAAGGCAACTTTTCACCATAGTGGAGCTCCTGAACCCAGAAATGCGAAGATTCATGTAATCTTATCAATTTCGCAGCCACATTCCTTTACTAATTTGCTGGTCCTAGATCTTGCTTTGTTGACTAAAGGCTTGGTTGTCTAATTGCTTTGCAAAAAGATCAAAAGTCGCTTCAACAGCATGGTTCAAAGTCGCAGTCATGGTTCGAACCGTTCCACATTAGTTTTGACATACCAGTCGGGTTTTGACAAGATGCAGATTTTTGAAATATTTAATATTCTAAAAAAAAGTAAAAAAAATAATAAACAAAAATAATAAAAAATTAGCAAAAATAATAAAAATTCGAGTTGATTTGGGATGACTCTGCCGTTTCTATCCGTCTCAGAGATGTCTCGGCCGAATTCTTGATGATTCTATCAAGTTATCAGTGATTCACTATCTCGGAGTTATCTCGTCCTAGTATCGGATTGGAAAACTTCGTTCCGGTGACGACTCGACCGAGTCTTTGAATCATATGACAGTTGCACATTTAGAACCTTAAAGCTGATGGTTCTTCTCTTAGAATTCCAAGCTACTTTGGAGGAGAGGATTTCATTGAGACAGATTGGGAAAAATATGCTTGTTGGTTTCTCCTCCTTTCTAGAGTATAAGACAAGTACGGAAGCACAAGTAACAGCTCTTCTTAAGAGGATTAAGCTGTGCTTAGATGGGAATCTTCATCAAGTGACTGTTGAATTGATTCTAAGTTAATGATTCATATGGGTTTTGTGTCTTGCAACGGTACCAGGGAAAATTGAGAGCACCATGTGGAAGTGGAAGTGGAACTTCAAACGCTTTACACATCACATGGAAAGTCCTTTGTCTTTAAACACGTTTCTTAAACAGGCAAATTGGTAGCTAATTTGTAAGTTAATGGAGCTAGTTCTTCAAGAACAAGTAAGGTGCACAATAACTTAGATTTGACAAATGATTTTGGGGCCTTATTGGATTGGACACTTTGCATGTCGTGTACATCCGCATTGTATAACACTTAGAAAGCTCTATATCGCTTTCTTTTGCATCTTTTCATTAAATATCAGTAAAACGGATAGAATCCTAATCCTAATTTCTATCAAAACAAGTGACTTTCGTTTCTTTTCTTTATTCTTTTAAAGGGTCATCAAATAATTTTGAGATTTTTTTTCTTTACGCATGATCTTTGTATTTTCTACTAAAATACTCCAACAGTTTAAGAATTGTAGCAGCACCGCACTCTTCTATCTGCCAAAAGTTGATGTCAACTTGTTTTGCAACCCGGTACTGTTTCATCCTGTCAAGTTGCATTGCGACATCTCCTTGTGTGGATAAAGTTGGGGAAGAACCCCACCCATGTAGTATTAATGTAGAGTTGTTGAAGTGCCAACCCTACCTTTAACGCACCTATTATTGTTTGATTATCGTCTTACCATATCATGCATCCAACCTAGGCCCATGCCCTGAAGGTCAATATCTCTTTCCAGCTCCCCACATGCCTGCTTAACCTCCAAGCCATAACAATACATACGAAAATGATGAACCCCATTTGTCAGATGTAATGAGACCCTGGATGGCAACTTCCATATTGGTTTTGAGATGGCATCAAACATACCAGTTGCAAGTGAATAGATGTCAAACAGGGCACAATGAACTGTCCCACAAAACCACCAGCCTTTGGGTTGGTGGCCGCCACCTAGCTTGACCTTGCCTCCCACCAAAATGCCACATTTAAGTGATTTGCTTCAAAAAAAAATTCAGACAGGTGTGTTGTGCACTCGTTTGGCCTTTGGATTGGTGGCCGCCACCTAGCTTGACCTTGCCTCCCACCAAAATGCCACATTTAAGTGATTTGCTTCAAAAAAAAATTCAGACAGGTGTGTTGTGCACTCGTTTGGTCCGGTGGTGGTTTAGTCCCCTCCAAGTTATTTCTGGGCCTCCTTAGGTTCACTCCCTCCCCCTTAGTATAAAATAAATTAGGTTATATAACTGTTGTCGTCTTCGAAAAAAAAAAACTGTCCCTCAAGTTTGCAAGGGAAATTTATCATTGATCTTTTTCTGGAGCTTGTCAAGGCATAACCATAAGATACATGCAGAATATAACTAGCATACTTGCTGTATTGCAGGAAAATTCGAGAGTCGGTTTATTGGCTGCTTGAAAACTAGGTTTAGGATACCTGAAAAAGAGCGGTGCTCATAATGATTTGGCATACATACTTTTAAGTACCCAGAAAGGCGAGCACGTTCAAATGTTGGAAACGATCAGCATCCATAAAATGGAGAACATATTTGATTCTTCAATCTAAAATGGGTATAAAATGAGAAGAAATAGTGGATCGTAAACACGGTTGCTGTTTAAGAGGATCACATACTAGCATAATTACATTAAATATAAGTTTTATACAAAATACTAACTGAGAAGACAGTTCTTCCTACTGAAATATATGGTGGAGTATATGCTATATGCTACAACATTACAGAATGAGATTAACGTCTTAATTACTTTCAATCAATCTAGTAATTGAGAGATCCAACTGATGTCATCCTGGTAATCGCATTCCTGGGCTCTTGTAGGCTTGCATAGTCATCACAGCTTCCATTTGGTAGCCTTGAGTTGGGAGCTGAGTTGAGAAGCTCGAGACCTCGTTTGCCCATGTGCTGCACCTCTTGTGGTGAGAGTATTTTAATGCACCACACACTGTTAACGAACTCCCTGCAGTGTTTGTCAGAATCAATTAAAAGGCCACACTTTCATGGGGATGTAAAAATTAAAAATAAATAAATAAATAAAGACGACCAAAAAGGAATTGTGTAATATGGCAAGCAAATGTAGACCACCTCATAAGGATATTAACAATTGGAAAGGAAAGTAAACAAACAATAGACTATTTCATTGCATTTTTCTTTGGGTTTGCTTTTCCCTCTCTTTTCTGCCCCTTCAACCTTAAGAGCAAAGAAAAATACCGTAAAAGCCTCGACATGAATTGAGTACAGTGTGCTGCTTTACAACAAAAGAAGCTTGATAAAGCACATAGCAATAAGCTGTCATGCATCATGTACTCAAGTGATGCACAAACACCACAGACGCAAGCAAATTGGTGTTTGAAGATAATAGATAGGTAAAAATCTATGACAGAAGAAAATAAAGATACTCACGGCCAAGGATCATCACCAAGGAGAAGGACATCATTCTCTCGGTCAACGAACACAAGCTGCCAGCCTGATCTCAAAGGGTCCTCCAAAAGGCCCTCAAGGCCAAATAGTCGAGCAAGCTCAATGCGCAACTCATGGTAGCTGCTGAATTTGCTGATGTCTAATGACCTCCCAAAGGACCCTGACTTGTAAACCTATTAAAAGCGCAACTAACATATGAAAAAAGGCAGGAAAGACATTATGGGAGTGCTTTGTTAAATAGTAAGACAACCAAATTCTCATGAGGATTCATGTGTCATCTGGAGTTACCATAGTTGTCACCAGCAAAAGTGTCATTACCAAGGCAACTTACCTTAACAAAAGTTCTGGTAGCGGGGTTTCCCTGCCCAATATTGTCAGGAGACCGCAGAAAACCAGATTCCTGAATACAACTTGAAGGTGTCATTTCTGGATTCTGTTGAAACTTGGTCCCCGTAGTACCAGCATAATTGGAAGAAGGA